GACCAGTACCCTCGGCCGCCTCGTCTCACGGGCGGTCAGAACGTCAGAACGTCCTAACATCGCCACTGCATTACGTTGCAGTGACCTGTCAGCAAGACGCGGTGACTAAGGACGAACAAGCTTGGATCGCTCGCGACGTCGGTAGTCCTATTGTGTTGGTGGCATCAGAGTTGGAGTATTTCTCAAAAAAAGCCTCGCAATTTTCTCATTTTTTTTGCAAAAAACGCATTCGAGTAATTTGTGAATCGGATTCGCTTTTACAAGAGGAAATAAGTGTTTGGACTGTTTGATTTGCGAGTTGCGAGGTTTTTAATAACTTGTCTCCAATTTTGGTCCAATGCCATCCTTTGGCAAAGCTAAAATGAGCCAAGCAGCAGTGTCGTGTGCGCACAGCAGACGAACGTGCTGACTTTGAGTCCACACACCGTCGTTCATCTCGCCAAACAACGCGCCAAAAGACAAGTTGTCCACAAAAAGACACGACACTGTTGACTACATTATTTTGACAGAACGAAGACCACATCGATCTGCCCACACGCGCTAGACGTCAATCCCGTGCTCGGTCGCAAAGTCCGACAAGTAGGACAAGTCGACGACGCTGCTCGCCTTGAGGCGGCCTTCCGGAAGGCTACTCGGCTCGGCGCCGAGCAGCTGGTCGGCTTCCAAAGCGCGGTGCAAGTTGTACGCACTGCGCGAGCTCTCGAGGCGGTTCCGGCCCGCGGACCGAAACATCGTGTCGTCCAGCATCGACGGCCGCAGCGACGACGGCGAGTAGACGGCGACGCGGCAGTCGGTGCACGTGCTTTCGTCGCAGCAGCGCTTGCAAAAGACGTCGCCGCACGCGCTGCAGGTACGTGGCTTTTGAAAGAACCGAAAGTGGCGACTGCAATGGCCGCAGCGGGGCCGCGCCGACGACCGCTTCGACGTGCGCAACAGGCTTTCGAGCGTGTAGATGTGCTTGACGCGCGACTGCAAGCCTGCGTTGATCGCCCACTGCGGGAGGTGGCCGCCAAAGTCGACGTTGAGCACGAGCGTCACGGTGTACGCGCCGGCCACGTCGCTGCACTCGCGAAAGACGTACCCGGACGCAAGCACCTTGGCGCGGAGGCAGCCGCGCACGGGCATGCACTCGTCGTCGTCGATCGAGTGCAAGGCGCGGGCAAAGCCGACGCGGCCATGCGACGTGATGAACGTGTCAAAGTACTCGACGTAGCGCAGATCGCGGCGCTGGACAAGCGGGATCGGCAGCGGGAGGAGGCTCCAGCGGCTACCCGCAAACGAGTGCTCAGTGAGCGGCAGAAGCGTCCGGAGCAGCTCGGTGCGCGTCGTATGGAGGCCAAAGCCATTCGTTGCCGCCCGATGGAAGAGGCCGCAGATGTCCTGCAGCGACGCCTTGAGCATCGTCGTTGCGGTCAAGGTCGCGACCTCGGGCGGGTAGTGCATGGGCGAGTCGGTCTCGACGGCCGCGATGAGCTCCTTGAAGGCCGTCCGCGCGAGGTGGAGCTCGTCGGTCGTCGGCCCGCCCGGGTGCAGCGTGAGTTCGACCATCGGCAACGGGTTTGGAAATGAATGACACACCAGCAGACACGGCGAACGTTCTCGCCTGGTGGTGCCAGCTGGTGGTGAAATTACCTTACAAAGTACACGATAATCTCGACAGAAAGGCGCAATCACACTGGCACAACGCGCGCGCAGGCGACCCTGGGCGTGCTCTCAAGCTGAACCATATACTTATAGCGTCTACGATATGTACATGTAGTAGTCACAGTATATACAAGTAGTAGTCGAGGGTGCGACTAAAGACAACGTCCTGCGGCCGGTCGAACCAAGGTCCGCCTGAGAGACGAGGTACCACACCTCGGATTGCCTTGGAGATTCGTTGGTGGTGGGACGGTTGGATGCCTTGCATGAAAATGGACGAGATGGCCACGTTCACGTTAGCATAGCCGTGTCATAGCAACATCTTGCTTGGTCGTTGAAGCGTACGAAGTGTGCTATTGCATCGAAGATGCTCGATATTCTGACTCCTAGGTGGTTGGCCGTCGGGCAGTGGTGGGCACACGAGAGATCGTTGGATCACTCGCTCCTTGCTCGAGCCCGAATATGAACGTGAAATCCACTTGCAAATCTCTAGTATCCTGATGGCGTGGAATCTTCGGCGCTTCAAGCGAATGGTCGTGATTGGTAGTGGCACGCAATGTACTGACATAGGGTAATTCCCTTGTGGACACAACCGCATGAGCCGATCGCGACGTCTGTAGAGACTTGGCGTCGAGGGCGCGGTTGCAGCTTTTCTTTGCGAGCTTTCGCGAGGCGTAGAAGGGCCGACCATATCGGACGGTCCCGAGGTGATCGATGATGCCGGTGCCTGAGAATAGCGGTATAGCACCTTGCCGCACCGAACAAACGTCTACTAACCCACCCCGCTTATCATCGTTGTATCGCTTGGTTCCTGCGATGTCGACTTGTCTGTCGCCGTGCTGTCTTTGACGATTGCTTGGCACGTACAATAAGATGGTCGTTTCTTCTTATAGCTTAGTGTATCGGAAATATAAGATATCTACCGACGCGAGAGGATATAGAGCATGTCGAAGCAGATGGAGACACGGGAGGGGTAGTAGCGGCTTGAAGCCTAGCTCCCGCGTACTATGACGCTGACGTTCTTGTTTGGCCGCCGAGGTGAAGAAAATCAAGTCGCAGTTGAAAACCAACCGGACGTAACCACCCAGATCACAAACACTGGGGTCTCCATAGCTCTCGATGGCCACGATCTAGACTATCCAAGTATCGATCCTATTGATTCTATCCTATCGATGGTGCCTCAGAGAGAAGATCGAGCGGCCACCGCGCGCCTGAGGCGCACTCCCAAGTTATACAGCGGAACGATGTCATCGAATTCTGTCATCCTCGGGACCGCTACAACTCAAAATGCAAACTGAGCAACCACCAGTCGTTTTCGAGTCCTTTGCAAACACTATACAGTGTAAATATACGTTTCTAGAGGATATTGAAACGAGCCCGTTGTGCTGAGCCGCAAAGGAGGACACGAAAGCACCAGGAAGAACCCATCGCACATGTACTCGCGTCGTCGTGTACGAAACTTGTGGCTCATGGCTCCGAGTCCGGCAGCGTATGAAGGCACCGATCGTATCCAGCAATCAACTGGTTGCAAACATTTCACAGTACTTATTGTGTCCAGATATACACTATACGAACGTGAAAACTACCGCGACCACACTATATTCGTACATACCATCGATAAGCTGGGAATGGAATGGATCATCGATATGATGCGTCATATACGGCCTGGCCAGGTCTAAGCTTGAGCTGGGTATTGGAGAGCGCTCTAAGTCGTGGTCTGGAAGCCCGCCAATGCGGTAATTGCGTGCTGTGCTCTGTATAACACTATTTAGCTGCTTCGATGTGGCCGTTTCGAGGTATGTCTTTTGGGAGGTTTTCCTGTTATAACCAACCATTGGCTGCTTGCTGCTGCTCGAATCACCGCGGACTCATCTTGGATCCTCGACGCGATGAAGTTGACGATGAAGGCGAAGCACAAGCCCGCTGCGGCCAAGGTGACGCTGGCCGCGCCGGCCAAGACGGAAGCGGCGCCAGCCAGCGACGCCTCGGCCGACGAAGGCGAGAGTGGCTCGGAGGATGAAGGCTCGGCCGACAACGACGTAGACGCCGACCACGAGAGCGAGGACGAGCCGGACGACATGGAAGAGAACGACATTGATGACGACGAAGAAGACGAAGGCGCGGTGGGCTTTGCCGACGCCATGAGCAAGGTCCTTGGCCAGAACATTGACACGGAGAAGGCGCCGATTCTCGCCAAGCGTATCACGGCGCAGATGCGCGAGATCTCCAAGGACAAGAAGGAGACCACCGAATCCAAGATCAGCGCCAAGGCCAAGCGCCTCCGCGATGAGAAGGACATGGTCATCCCTAGCGTGGCCACAATGGCCCAGGACAAGGCCCTTCGCACGATCGCGACCAAGGGTGTCGTTGCGCTCTTCAACGCGATTGCCAAGCACCAGCATGCGACGGCGGGCACGGCCGACACCAAGTCCAAAGAAATCAAGTCCATGGACAAGGATGCGTTCCTTGGCTTGCTCAAGCAGTCGTCGAAGAAGCCGGCGACGGACGAACCCAAGCCCGAGGCGTCGACCTGGTCGGTTGTCCAGGACGACTTTATGATGGGTGCCAAGATGAAGGACTGGGACAAGGACGACGACGAAGCCGCCGATGCGGACGACTGGAACGTCGAGCTCGACTCGGACGAGGATGCGTCTTCTAGAAAGACGAAGAAGAAGGCACCGGCGGCCAAGGGCGGCAAGAAGCCCGTTACCAAAGGCGCCAAGAAGCCGGCTGCAAAGAAGCAGAAGACCAAATAGAACTTATTTCGAATTACATAATTTTGCAATACACACACACCAACGCGCATATGAGCATCCTTTTACTCCACACATGCGTTGCAGCAGTCATGCCAACAGCGTCCCGCAGCAACGCCACGGAGCACCCGCCATGGAAGCCGAGCCTTTGCGCGAAGATCGCCATGCCCATCAATGCGTCGACTAAATCCACGCAACTTTACAACGGTGCCTCGCTTTGCGTCGGGGCATCCGGCGCGCTTGCATTTCGTTTCTTCCATACATAGCGTACACACTCTATGGTATCGTCGTGTGGACTCCTTTCTGGACTGTCGCTGCCTCGGCAGCCGTAGGCCTGGGCCCCTCGACACTGATAATGGCGTGTTTGTAGCTGCTGACAAGCCCACGGCCTAGCGTATCCGGATGACCGGACCGCACCACTGGCCATGCTGTGGTAAAAAAAGACGCTTGTCTTTTAATCCACTATTATGTACACTAATATACAACGCATAGGTAATACAAAAGAAAGGAGCGCGCAAAACGAGCATAATATAAAAGCAGTGCATTGCGATTGGTCAAAAAGGAAATGCAAAATTGGTTGGCTCAAACGCGCAATGGTCTGCGCGAGTCGACTTTGACTTTGCATCATTTGCTATTCGCTAAAAACTACACCATGGTCAAGCAGAAGAACCACACGGCCCGCAACCAGACCGTCAAGGCCCACAAGAACGGTATCCGCAAGCCGCACAAGCACCGCTACCACTCGACCAAGGGCGTACGTGGCTCCTCTTCTTGGCGCCCAATAAGCTGATGCGATTTCTTATAGCTTGACCCCAAGTTCTTGCGCAACCAGCGTTTCGCCAAGAAGTACAACAAGAAGCACGTCGCCGCCAAGAAGGACGAGTAAATTTACTTGTCGCCTTTGACGCCTTTGACGCTGCGCCTTGACAGTCGTGCGTCGACGACGGTATGGTGTGTTGTCTAACACTCGGAACGATATTCTTGCTTGACCTACCTTGTCGACTTGACCTTGTACTTGTATCTGGCAAACGATCCTGTAGGCGGCGACGACACGAGCAGCGTGGCTTTGGAGATGAGGATCCATCAAATCACTTATCTACATTCTCTGATCTACGTGAAGAGAACCTTTGAGTCTGATCCAAAGCTCGCTGCTGCGTCGTGTCGTGGCCGCAACGCTCTTGCACTCGGTATGATGATCACACCAAATCACTTATCTACATTCTCTGATCTACGTGAAGAGAACCTTTGTATCTGATCGAGTGCTCCAGCGACCTAGTTAGTAGTATACTCTGGCTTGTTGTCATCGCCCCGTAATACATTGTTTTCATGGAGGACACTCGTGTCTTGCGATACCAACACCCTTGGCCATGCGGTTATTACAGGGAGGAGAACAATGCAAATATGAAGAAGTCATAAATAGAGGGCTCTCTCAAGCTACACGACCACATCGATGGCCGAGTGGTGCGTCACGGTGGCCACGAGGTGCGCGCGCACAAGGCAGAGCTGCTCAAACACCTGCGCCGGCGTCGGCTGCACGACGTTGCTTCGGATCGTCTTTGGCAAAATGGACAAGTGCTTTGCGTTCTCGATGCACGCGGCGCGGAGCGCATCCGGGCCAAAGCACGTTAGGACGACGCTCGAACCGCGGAGGGCGGGCGACGTCGTGCAGATCGAGTGGAGCATCTGGCTGTACCACTGCGTGTTGGCTTCGGTCGCGGCGCAGAGCAGTTGAATGCGGCTCTGGAGGGCCGGGGTCGCAAAGAGCGTCGCGCACCGAGGAAAGAAATTGCTGCAGAGGTCTTCGATGTACGCACTGCTGTCTTCGGCGAGCACAAACACCGTGCCGTAGGCCTGAGCTTCAAGCAGCACGTCCGCGATGGCCGCGTCAAGCTCGGCAAATGCTTGGGCGAGCGAGGGAGGAAGGGGCATGCGCAGCCCCTGGGCATGGATCCACGCCGTCGGGCACAGAAAGCTGGTCCACGAGAAGACCAGCGCGGTCTCGATATGGACCGACGTCAACGGCATCGGCGTGCGCGGAAAGCTCGTGAGCGGCAGACGCTGCTGCGCGCTAAAGACTGAGGACGACGCCAACATGGTTGAGCTGGACAAGTGCAATTTCAAAATGAGCTCGAAATAAGATCTGCAGTCGTTTTAAAACATTTCGCCATCTTGGATACAAACACCAAGTCAATATTTAACTTTGGTATTGTACGACGGTGACAATCACTCAGAATATCGGCTCCACGACCTTCATCCTCCACATTGACCTGCGCGCGAAAGCAATGTCGGGTCAGGAGCGCGCCACGTGCAATGTGGGTCGGGCATAGACGCTGAAGAGGAGGAAATGGTCCAGTGGACATTACCCAGAACGAGGGCTTGGTCTAAGGAGAATAACATTAGGTAGGTTACAGGTCGACGCAGACAGGTGGCAGCGGGGTTGCGATCGAGAGGTCAAGCGGTGTCGCGTGTCGTACAATCATATCCAGATGCACGTCGACCTGCCGCAGTCGGGCTTCCATGCTTGCGGTGGACGTGGCGGTCGACATCGTGTAGATGGCTTTGGGCAAGACGGCCGTGAGACGCTTAGCGACACGATGACACGCCGCGCGCAGCGCGTCGGGCCCAAAGACGGTCAGCGCGACCGTGCACTGCGTCCGCACCGCGCGGGCTTGGGCGACGATCTCGCGCAACATCGCGTCGTACATGTCGTCGGTCGACGCCTGTGGTGCCTTGAAGACCATGGCCGGTGCATATCGCTCGAGAAGCCGCGACGTGTGCGGGAAATGCGCATTGAGCTCCAAGGCAAAGGCGTCCGGAGTGTCTTCGACGGCCAAGAAGACGTGGCCGAGGCGCGACGCGTGGGTCAGGACGTCGGCGACGCATCGGTCCATCACCTTGCACGCACTGCGTGCGATGCTCATGAACGGAAACCGGTGCTCACTCGTGGTACTTAGCCAGCTCATGGGGCTGCAAAATGTCGACCACGAGAACACGAGTGCTTCGACGACGTCGGGCCCGGCGTACAACGAGGACGTGCGTTGCATACACGACGATGGCAATTCGCGACTGGCATGCGAGGCAGTCACGGAGTAGGTACTGTAGGAAGCCACAAGGCAGTGGGCGGTGGGCAGTAGCGCGCTGGCTTTGTTGGGTGCTCTCCACTGTCGTTGCTGCAAATGCCTCTGCTGAAGCGATGCGCCGAGTAGTCTAGTATGAAGTACCGAGACGACGAATGAGTGCAGTGCCACAGCGACCCTGCGCATTTCTTCTGCCGCCTTGTGGCCTTGACGTGAGTACAGGCTAGGACCACTCCCTCAAAACAGCGTGGCATGCCCGCATGCGACGGGCAGCGCACGCAAGGATGAGGCTCCTCCTCCGCCGCACGTCACGGGCAACACCTTTGGGCGGTGTAGTCCACCGTCGCTACTACGAGCCACTGGTGACGACGACCGCCGAGGCAAGTTGGCACAGATCTTGCGATTGCATATGAAAATTCCACTGTAATTTCCACTGTAACAAGACGACCACGGTGTGGCGTCGTGTCCAGCTCGAGCATCGAACATCGAGCCGAAGTATTGCGCTGCGACACGGAGGCCGCTGAAGCCTCCTGCAAACGCTTGCCCGTTCTCTAGTACACTGTACTAAAACAACGATGATCGCGTGCATTAGTCGCTCGACTCGTTGGTGGGATGTAATCCTGTGGACATCTTGGGCAACTCCCTGAGCTCTGGTATGTAGTCGTTGCAATGAAGGAAAGACGAGGTGCCAGAGACGCCCCATCACCCAAGCTCACTTATTTGGCGCACACGGACTGATGGCTTCGATCGTCGCTGGCGCCGTCGTTGGTCGTTCCGTGAAATTGTCGTCTTGTCTTTGGGTCTGTCGCCAAATATCATGAAACGGTACTCCTTCAAAAACGCAGTGGAAACACAGCAATAGTAGACATATTGACCAACGTTAAATAGTAGAATGTACAGCACGACACGAATGACACGGACGACAAGAAAACGGCGCTTAGAGGCACACGGTGCGCGGGCGGGCGGTCGGGCGCAGACTCGGCGCGTCCCGGCGGACGATGCCCTCGAGGTGCTGGCGCACCATGCCGAGCCGGTCGTGCACTTGGGCAAAGCTCGGTGTGCCGCCCGCGGTGCGAATGGCCTTGGGCACGACGGTCGACAGCGCGCGGGCGATCGTGAGGCACGCGTGGCGCAGCTCTTCGGGCCCAAAGACCGTGAGCGAGATCGACGACTGCTGCAGCCGCGCCGATTTCGCGCAGATCGAGTAGAGCAAATGCTCGTACGTGAACGTGAGGCTCGCGGGCTTGAGCGCGCACGCGAGCTGGATGTGGCTTGCGTCGCACTGAATGAGCGCCGCCGTCTTGGGAAAGAAGGTCGCGAGCGTCGTTTGAAAGTCGTCGAGCGGGCACTCGACGAGGACGTAGAGGTAGCCGAGGCGGCGCGCGTCGAGAAGCGTGGCGACAATGGCTGGGTCGAGAAGCGCGCAATCGCGGTGCAGACTCGCGAGGCGGCGGCTCGAGTGGTAGCTGGCAAACTGCAGGTCGTGCGCAATGGCGGTGGACGGGCAGAGGAAGTGGTTCCATGAGAAGACGAGCGCCTCTGTCATCAGCTTGCGCGAGTGGGTTTGGTCGGCGAACGAGTAGCGGCGGCTCGGCTCGCTCATGGACGACGACGACCGGGACGACCGGGAAGACGAGGTGGGCGAGGACATGGTGGTGCTTGCTGCATGCGCAGGAAAAGGAAAAGTAATCGAAGCTCGAGTGGGCGAGATGGAAGTCCCACTCTGCGTGCCACTCGTGTCCATACGAACTGCAGGATCGCAGGTGCGGTGCGATAGAAAGCTCAATGGTGGAATGCAGCTGGGCCTGCGACGCAACGCGCTTTGCTTGTCGACGTCGACGCCGCCAGCGCGCGTCGGCAGCTCGGCGATGTCCTCGACAGCGTGCATGGGACGATGGTATGGCAGAGGCGAAGAGGACCAATGGCTGGTGCGAGGTGCGCCAGGATGATCGCAGATCCTCTGCATGGATCAGATACAGGATAAGCACTGACAGGCCGAGGACTGGGCTCCAGAATTCCTCGCAGCTGGCAGAAGAGGGTGTCCCACCCGCCACGTCGAGACAGGATACACATCTCGAGGACCTGGAGTTGATAGGCATTGAGTGCCCACGTGCTGTGGGGGAAGCCTGCCGTGTCCTCTGCCACCGACCACACGCCGACGGCGTCGCCACCTGAGACGACGAGCTCCCAAGCTTCCTTCTCTGTTTTGGGGTGAATCTCATGCTGGCGGTAGCTTCGTACTGCCATCATCAACGAATGCACGCTTGGCCTTTCCAACGACGCCAGCATCATCAACCGAGATGGACAGAGGTGGCCACCACCGTCGCCGGCCATCCAATATGCAGTCATACGCACCGTGCAGAGGTGTTGACACCGCCGCATAGACCTGCAGTCCTTGTCTGCCGTGCATCTCATCATACTATCCTCCCATGCAGCGGGTCTGTCCGAACTAGATGACGACCGCTGCGAGCCGCCGCCTGAGTCCGCAGGGCGCGCAGCACCCATGCAGAGTGTATATCTCGTCGCATGCATACGTGCACATTTAGTCGTCAACGTAGGCCCTGGCTATGACTGCAGCTCCACGTGCGGCGCTTGGCGCGCGCCATGGCATTCATGCTTTGATCGCATGGGCAAATGGGCCTCGCCGTCAACCGCCGCCAAAGGAGCGAGCGCATGGCGTCCTCGCCCACGTGGGTGGTCCGTACCGAGGCCGCGCCCATGATAGCGCCGTCCTGGGGTGGCCCACGGCCGGCCATCGGGCCTCGACGAGCGTCGCTTCGGCCGCGTCCGCCGGCGAGGTGGCCACAAATAGAGCGGGCCAACGTGTCGCAGGTGGTATATATATTCCATTTTTTTTAAATACTCGATATTTGTATGCACTTGCACGGTGCAAAATATTATGACGTCGCTGGATCTCGGAATATTTGGCGGCCGCTTGACAGAACCACGATGGCCCCATCGCCGATGCAGCCGACGCGCCCGAGCCCGGGCCGGTCGCCGCGCAACGACCAGGACGAGCGCGAGGAGCGCATCTTGATCCAGAACGACGCGCTGTACAATGCGGGCCCGCCGGCCAATGCGAATGCCACCAACGGCGTCGTGCCCACGCCGTCGACAACACCCGCCGGCAAGCCCAAGCTCCTGCCCCAATTCAAGTTTGTCTGGTCGATGATTGGCATCAATACGCTCATCTTCATCGTTGAAATGTGCGCTCTTCCATCGCGCTATCACTGCGCTTATGGTCACGTAGTGCGGAAAATGGCTGGACCGTCGAGAGCCTCAAGGTCAACCCGCTCATTGGCCCGAGCGCCCAAGTGCTTTTGTCCATGGTATGCTCCTCGCTGCATCGACAATAGCATGGCTCATGCCATGTTGTGCAGGGCGCCCAGCGTACGGATCTCATCAAGGACGGCGCGTGGTGGCGCCTCTTCACCGCCATGTTCCTCCATGCGGGCGTCGTCCATCTTCTCTTCAACATGGCGGCGCTCTACCAGCTGGGCATGGAGCTCGAGTCGACCTTTGATCGCCGACGCATCGCGACCATCTACTTTGCGACCGGTATCATCGGCGCCATTGTCTCGGGCGTACGTCGACTTCGCACGTCGCCATTCCGGATCTCATTTTGCACTAGTTTTTCGTCCCGGATGTCGTTGGCGTCGGCGCGTCCGGCGCGATCTTTGGCCTCTTTGGCGCGACCTTTGCCGAGTTTATGCTCAACTGGAAGCTGTACACGAACCGCGTGTGCCACATGGTCTAGTGCCATGTCCAAATTGTCATATCTCACCACCGACGATAGACCAACTTGGTGGTCGTTGCGCTCGTGAACCTCGGCATTGGGCTGCTGCCGTTTGTCAACAACTTTGCGCATCTCTCGGGCTTTATCGTACGTTTTTGAGGGATTTGATGGGTTTGCAGTATCAACTTGATATTCTAGAGCGGTCTCAGCCTCGGGTTTGCGATGCTGAGCCTGCCGCTGAGCCGCCAAGACCGCATCATGGGCACCCGCACGAGAAAACAGCGGCTGCTCGGGTGGGGCGGCATGCTCTTCACTGCATTCTTTGCCATCCTCTTCATTGCTCTCTTCGCCAGCAACGTACGTCGCGCCCTTGGCAACAGACTTCTATATTGCTGCTGTAGACAAACGCGATGGCGGCGTGTCCGTGGTGCAAGTACCTCGACTGCGTCCCAGCGCCTTGGTACGTAGTCATTTGACACAGGAAGCAGCGCTCATAAGATGCGACGCAGGTGGGACTGCGATGCGACGACGAGCGGCCAGTGCTTGGGCGAAAAGTTCAACAATGGCACGCTGCGGGTGACGTGTCCGAGCGGCCGGAACGTGACGGCGCCGACCAACAGCGAGTTTACGGCCGCGCTCTGTACTTCGCTGTGCACGTGAGCCGCCTCGACCGATCTCCCTCGTTATATACTCCTTCATGTACCATGCAACCCTATTCCCTACCAAACGAGACCATCGAATGTCTATTCTCTGGCCGTGAAAACGAGGATACGGAGGTGCATTTGTCCCGTAGCTGTCGAGAGGGTTGAAGAGGTGCACCGAGAGACATATTGCAGACTTCATCTGTCGGTATGACATCCAGCCGAACTACACATAGGGCAGTAGCTCTACGCTTTGCAGTCCAACACAATGTAGCGTAACCGAGTTAGCTGCGGGTTGTCTTTGCGCTCCGGCGACGGGGTCGATAACGGCATATAGCTCACGCCTCCCTAACTTTCAATTTTCGTAAGTATTTGGAAGATTTATGAAATAAATTAGTGTAGTTTTTCTCGGATCCATCAAAAAGGCGATATGCATCACATTTTGGTCGGTCACGCGGTTGGTGGCGACGGCTCAAAGAGCGCTGCGAACGAGCAAGCGGTGGCTTCCGGTCGGCGAATGCAGGCCCGCAATGGGCTGAGACTGATGCTGGACGGCATCTGCAGCGCCGAGACTTTGGCGTGAATGAGCGGCGGGAGGGGGTGGAGCACAGGTGGGGACCGTGGCGTCGCCGGTGGCGACTGGGACGTCTTTGCATGGGCTTTGCACTTGCCCTTGATCTGCGAAAACTTTTCGCAGCCCTCCATCGCTAGTGGAACGTTCTTAGTCTTAGCATTCATTTGTACAGGCGTACCGCACTTGCGACCGCCCCCGTGGGCAATGCAGTAGCCCTTGCTCTGCGCGAGCTTGTCGCACGACTCGATGTGGCACTTGCGCCCGCCGCCGTGCGCGATGCAGTGCCCACGGCTCTGCGCGAGCTTGATGCACGTCTCGACCTTGCAGCGCGTGCCGCCACCATGGGCTACAGACAGACTGGACTATCTGCACCGCTTGCATCCAAAGCGATACCTTTGCATCGACCGCGGGTCTGGGCAAATTTCGTGCAGCCCTTGAACTGGCACAAAGCGCGGCGCGCCGCGGCAGCCTTTGGGTCGTGGTGCGCCATGAAGGGCGGTGTTGGCGTCGTTAGTGTTGCGCGCTGGTTTCGAAAATGGCAAGATCGGCGCGATGTGGGCGCGCGGTAATTTCGTGGAAATGTCGAGGCCAGCTGGTGTCGAGTCCACGTGGTTCCTCGTACATTCGACCTTTGTCTCGAGGATACTGCAATGTGCCGACCCTGCTGTCGACCATCTCGACCATCTTTTGCGACTTTGTCATTGTCCAGGCTCCTCCGTGCGCATCGTGGCCGAGGATATACGCCAACGCGTCTTATGCCGCCACGTCATGTTGATGACAGGCACGAGATGTTGCGTGCGAATAGCCAATTCAAAAACGAGCCAATCCACGTCGAGAAAAGCTATTGAAACAGCCAATGGCATCGTCGCACGGCTTGACTTTTCTGCCGCCTTCAGTTTACAACCCGGCACGACGATGACGAGCTTGGTGCGTGAAGTGTCCGTGTCGGTCGACATGGACACGGGCAGCGTCATGCCGATCGAGACGGCGTTTGTCTTTGGCTGGAACAACTTGCTGTGTCCGACGTCGTGGCTGCGCCGCAGCAACTTTGCGTCGAGCGCGCACACGCCCGAGAGCCAAGTGATGTTTGCGCTCTTGGACCAGCTCGACTTGCAAATTGCAGAGGTCATTGCCCACGCGCTCTCGCTCGGCGCCGTCTACATTGTGTGTGACGACCAAGAGCAAGCGATACTCGAGCTCTGCGCGGCGTACTTTCGCCGCGCAAAGGAGCTCCTCTTCCACCACCCCGGCGTCCTCGTCGTGTACGCCGACACGCCGCCCAATGACGCATGGTACGTCAAGGTGCTTTAAGGGCTCTACCAAAAGCACGCCGACGACTGCAAGTCGTGGGACATTTCGGTCGCTGTCTTTGGCACCGAGGCCCTGCGCGCCGCCGCCCGCGCCGTTGGCCCCGCTGCGCCTTCGGTCGTCCTCAAGACGATGGCGTTCGCGCGTGCCCAGCCCACGATCCTCGAGTGCAGCGATCGGCTCCGAAAGCTAAAAGCAAGCTTTGATGAAGTGGCCTTTCTCAAGACCGCAGCCGACATTGCCTTTTGAGTTTGTAGTACCCTCGTCTTTCTAACACTCGTACATTACGTCAATAGCGACAAATCTCTTTACTCGACTCGCCTTGCCCTCTCTCGCGCCGGCTAGGGCTGCTTGTCGCCTGCGGGATTGGTCGGCAATGCCAGGATGACGGGATTGATTGGGCGTCTTCCTCTCCTGGATGCCCACGTCGTCTTTGCCCGCGACGCGCCATTTGTGTTTGGCGAACCGCAAGATCGACACATGTCTCGCTCGACGCACACCCATAAAGAACTCGCCGTCGACGCCTCCTCGTCGCACGTTGGCGCGAGCGAGCACGGGTTCGAAGTCCCTACCAAAGCGACGCGACCAAGCGATCGCGGTCGACTGCGTGTTGTTTCGCGCGCCGTAGCGACGGATCTGGGTTGCCGCCTGTCCATGGTTACCGTCCATACTAGTCAGATGCCACTTGGTGTTTGTATGTAATATTTCCAGTTTGCACTTGGTTCTGATTGGTGCATTTGGCTAGCAGGGCCAATTTGGCGTCGAAACGAACCGTCTCTAGCGGGTCATACTGATGCGCCCACTCCCTCATCCGATATGCGACGACGCGCGCTTCTGCCGCTTCTTCTCGCAGCAGCGGCGCCCAGCGTCCGCGCGGACGACGGCGACAGCCACCTCGTCACGGTAGTTCTTATTGGTGTCGGCGTCGGCCTCGTCGTGGCCGTCGCGCTCATCTTTGTGCTGCGCAAGTGCTGCAAGCGCCAGGCCAAGGCGCCGCAGTTTGAAGACTTTGTCGACCCCGTTGACGCCATGGAGGCGCCGCGCCCGCGCAAAGACATACATGCATCGCGCTTCCACCATTTGCAGCGGGAGACGGAAGCCACGTCGCCGTCCGAGTCGCTTGCGCAGGACCCGATGCACTCGGTGTACAAGCAGCCGCCGATGCCAACGTCGCCGGTCACCAGACACGCGCCTGCAGCCGCCAGGCCTGCGCCGTCGTACCAGCCGCCACCTGCTGGCAAACCGGCGTTGCCACAAGCTGCAAGGCCGCAGGCAGCGCCCGTGAGCTTTCGCTTCAACGTGGACCCAGTCGCACCGGACGATATCAACTACGGCCTGAGCTTATCGCCGACGACAACGGCTCCAGCGCCAGCTGAAGCGGCACCACCGATCGCGCCGCGGCCTCCACCCGTCGTTGTCAAGCCGCTGCCCGTTGCCGCCACGCCCGAGCCGCGGCCGACCCGCGCGTCCCGGACGTCCCACGCCTCGCAGCATGTCACGCCGCCGTTGCGGTCGACGTCGTCGTCGTCGCACGCGTCGCCACCAAAATTGCACTCAGTCTTTGACGCACCGATCGAGCTACCCCGGGAGCAACCAATGGCAAAGATGCCCTCTAAGTTCAACGCGCCGATCGAGCTGCCGCGAGAAGCACCGAGAGCACCGCGTTCCAAGCCGCACCAAACGCCAGAAATGCGCGCCGCCAAGAAAGCGGCACTTATCAACCAGCTCGGTGCGTCGCGCGTCCCGACGATGCCACAGGACCCACCCCGGCGCGCCCCCGAACCACTGCACCGCGCCCCCGAGCCACTGCACCGCGCCCCCGAGTCGATCTACCAACGCCCCGCACCACAAGAACCTCCGCGTGCCGTCGATGTGCACCGCGCACCGGAGGCGAAGCGTCGGCCGAGTGGGCCCGAAGGAGGGTTCTTGCCGCTGCCGGTTGCCCCGGCATATCAGCCCGCGGCCTTGGGTCCGAGTCCCGCGCCATCGCGCTTCCATGTGCCCTACCCGGAAGAAGAGGACGCGTACTTGACGTGTGTCGACAACGCGGACGACACGCTGCCGCTGGGCGCCGAGGCGGGCTCGTACCGCGTCAAGGCCACGCTCATCCAGCAACTGCAAGCGCCGCCACCAGTGGAAAAAACCAAGAGCTCGGAGAGCAGTGAGCCGCCGCTCATGGAAGAGAGCCGGGCCCACGACATGATTTACCTCCCCAAGACGTCGGAATTTGCGCACCAAGTACGCCGCAACGAGTACGACTACTACCCATTTGGCGAGGACGCACAGTACGAGACGTCGTTGAATACGGTCGACACCCTCCCGCTCGGGTATCCTTGGCCCATGTGCATCGGCAGTGTCTCATCAACTTGTGTGAATAGCATGGAGGCTGGCGCGTATACCAAAGGCAAATTGGATGTCGCCGAGTACGAGCGCAAGCAGCGTCTCAAGGCCGATCAAATCAAGCACCTCGATGTCAAGGTTCGGTTGGACCGACCGCCAGACCGGTATTTTGAGCCCCGCGGGTAGTATATATAATGAGCTCGTTGCGGTATTTGTATCCTTGTGCGGCCTTGACTCGAATGGGCGGCGCCGCAAACATCGCACTAGGGTTAGGTGGACATCGGGCGGGCCCCACCCCTATCCTCGGTGTAGTCTTGCTGGACTCGTCGCCTAACTTCAGCGCACACTCTTGAGCTCATATACTATTATCAGCGGGAGCTTGGCGTTGGCAACGTTAACACGCCATCAACGACAAGAGTAGAGTCGACGTGCACTGTACTAGTACTGGTCGATGTCATGGTGGTTTGATGGCCGTGTTGGCTTCCTCCGGCATACCGGTACATTGCGAACTGCGTAGTAGCAGAGCTCAGCTGCAGAGCTCTGGGGCTAGAGCCGTGAGCCAACTCTACAGCGGACATGGGGCGCATAGGCTCTGCGAGTGAGTAGCAGGTGTTGTGTCGGTCGTGGGGCCGTTGCTGTACATTGTCCGATGCTCACCACTTGTATCAGACTTTGTATGGCTCCCCGCAAGTGAATTCCTCGTGTAATAGTTGGTCAAGAGCATTACATCGCCCATACCGCGTGACGCGACCTTGCGCGCGCTGCATCTCCCGTCGAAAACGCGCCTCTGACGCTCATCTGAAACTGCCTTTCAAATTCCAGCCAATCCGCGCGAGATTGCCGTTGCCGTCACCCAATCAAATGCGAATCGAACACACGTGTGACACACGCGTTGGCTGAAGAGCAACTTGCTCGCCATTCCACAACGGGCAATGAAATCCGCAGCCGTCCTACTCGCGACCTCGCTCGCCGTCGCCAACGCGGCCATCTCGGTGCCCGGTATCAACTACAACCCGCGCATTGGGCCCAACTGGGGTCCCGACGCCACCAACTGCAAGTCGTCGGCGCAAATCGACAAGGATTTTGCGATCTTGTCCAAGATTACCAAGGGCGTGCGCATCTACTCGCTCACTGACTGCAACACGGCCGAGCTGGTCATTGCCTCGGCCAAGAAGGCGGGTCTCACGGTCTGGCTCGGCCTCTGGGTTGGCCCTGAGCCGACGATCTTTGCTGCCGAGAAGGCCAAGCTGTCGTCGCTCATCTCGAGCGGTCTCGTCGACAGCACCGTTGTTGGCGTGCACGTCGGGTCGGAGGCCGTGTACCGCAAGGACGTGACGCCCGAGACGGTACGACGTGCCGTGCGTGGCGGTGTAGCTCATGGTTGGCGCAGGCGATCTCGAACTTTAAGGAGGTCAAGGCGGTGCTCTCGACGGCCAAGATCAACGTGCCGGTGACGATTGCCGACATTGGCGATACGTGGATTGCGAACCCGTCGATGGTCGAGGCGGTACGACAGCACTCGAAGCGTCTTGAGATCGTAGCCGAAACTTGTAGGTGGACATTGTGTCGGCCAATCAATTTCCGTTTTGGGAAAACAAGAACGCCAATGACGCGGCCGCGTGGTTTTACATGCGCATGGAGCCGCTGATTGCGTCCGCGACCAAGTACAAGAAGAAGATTCTTATCTCGGAAACGGGCTGGGCCACCGGTGGGTCGGCGGTCAACACGGGCCCGGCGACGCCGGCGCAGGCGGCGGTACGCACCTTTGATCGCTCTCGAAATTCTGGTCTGACATGTAATGGGGATAGAAATACTTCAACGACTTTTCGGTTCTGGCCAAGCAAATGGACTGGGACTACTACTACTTTACGTCGTTTGACCCTGCGTTCAACGCGAACACGTCGATCGTTGACAACGTCGAGCAGCATTTTGGCCTCTACTACGCCAACGCCACCATGAAGCCGTGCTACGCCGAGCTCACCGTCTCGGGCGCGACGACGGTCGTAACCAAGGCGCCGTCGCAGCTCTCCAACGTCACCATGACGCCGGTGCCCAACACGATCCCCAAGAACAATAACGACGGCATGGGTCCCAAGTCAAACAACTCGACCAAGCCGGCCGGTGCGACGTCGTCGCCGGGTGCGAGCACGTCGCCGAGCGCGGGCTCCAACTCGACGGGCTCTGGCAAGGCCAACACCAAGTCGGCGGCAACGGGCGCCGCTCTTACAAGCCTCGTGACGATCGCCGTCGCGTCCGTCTTCATGATGGCCATGTAAACTACACATCAGCGAATGTTGCTGATGAAAATAAAGATGTCGAGTATAACACCGAGTCAAACTAAGAGACCAGTGGAGCAAGTTGCAATACTGGGAGGTCGATTGAAGGAGTGGGGAATGCAGCATACCACCGGCGGTAGGTTTCACCAGGAACTGAAGTTGTTAATAACAAGATTACAAAATAGCAATTGGTCGCGAGTTTTGAAAACAAATACTTGCAGACCTTTGATAGCCACGCGCGTTGACATGGAGCCACTCTAGGGTTAGAGAAAGCGTCCCTGAAATTATCACAACGATTTGAGAAGGTTGCAAAAGTTTCGATTTGGGATCGACAAGCCTCACGCCTGCCGGTGCGGTGCATGGCCAAAATGTAGAAAATGTTGGCAAGTGCTGGGATTATTTTCAACGGCCCACTCCAAGTCGCTACTGTTGAGAGAGGTTCAACGTGCTGATTTGCGGCCTCCCTGGGACTGGGTGATTTATCAATGAATCGATTTGAATAAAATTGCATTTTCGGGTAGTGGCATTTTTGCACGAGAACGGCGCGAGCCGATGCGCTCTCGAGACCAAAATGTTTCCTGAGCAATCAGCATCAGATTTGATAGCTCATCAGCGACAAGCATTGACACACTACTCCAAATTATGCAGATGTGCTGTCGTAGCCCACTGCCGTGCGTTACTAGTACCAACGCGACGGGCCGTACACACCAACCAACAATTCCTCTATGCGCACTTTGAGGGCCCATGATTGGTCGCCGCTGG